CTTTTTAAATTTGAAATAGACAAGTAATATCTTTTAATTGTTGATCTTTAATAAAACCCAGGATTGAAATTATTTCTATGTAAGGAAACCTTTATGACATTGTACTGAATATTACCCCTTTACAAGTATCAGCAAGGTGGACTATTATTGACTTTGTAATTTTTTTTAAATTCTTTAGCAATATAAATGGAAATTATCATGTTTGCAGCCTGTTCATATAAGCATTTTGTAAGAGGAGTGGTTTCTTCAAAAGAATGTTGTCTGTTTTATATGTTGCTTTGTGTACTGTTTACAGATCTTCTCTGGAATCACCCTGACAAAATTTGGAGGCATTCTTGTTCTGGGATTTGCAAAGTCTCAGATATTTCAAGTGTTCTACTTCCGCATGTATCTTGGTATTGTGCTTTTTGGAGCAGCGCATGGTCTCATTTTCCTTCCAGTGCTTTTAAGTTATATTGGTAAGTATTGATACCATATTGTTGAACAATATTGCTACATAATCGGCAATGCATTATTGTAGTCCATCGTGTGCTTTCAATTATTGTGCTTTCACAATTCAATAATATTTATTTTTACAGCCAAACGCAACTTGTTATAATATATTTATATTATGTATTTTTGTGTAATAACAAGTTGTTTGTAAAATATTATCTAGCTACATTTAACACAACAGTAAGTCACAAGTAACATTTGTGCTGTTACAGTGTTTCAGTGAATTGCGCGTAAGAGTAGGTCATAAAATCAGAGTATAAGAAACTTCATAGTAGCAGGTAATTGTCACATTAGCTAGAGGGCTTAGTATTCACAGATGTGTAGACATATCTACTTCATGCATTAGAGCTGATGTTGACCTAGGATTCAAACAAAGAAGTGTGAGAAATGTTTTAATAAACCTGAGTAAAGGTCTGTGCTGTCTCCACCCACTCCTGTCCCATTTAAACATTCAAAACTAATGTAAATTCATGAGTGGATGTGCCTGTCTACTGTTACTTTCCTTAATTTTATTTGCTATTTTACCTAGTGTCATAATGTAGGTCACTGTTCTGCAACCAGTTTGCTTCCACAAGATTGCAGGTGTGTGTTTAATTTTTATAGGAAATTGCATATTCACATATTCTTTTGCAATTAGAATTTGTAATACACACCCAGATTCATCATTGATGTGCTGTCTTGTATCTTTGACAAATTAGGGTCTGGCACAGGTGAAACAAGTTGTAGAACACTGGTTTACATAATAGAACTTAAACAGTCAGTGGTTGAAAGTTGAAAATAACATTTCTAATTTATAAGAATATTTACTTGTGAAATTTGAGATTTCCTAAACCAATCTGCAAGTTACATCATGGTGCCTTAGGTTTCCAAAGTTATCTGTATAACCATCCTTAGTAATTTTCATTAATTCTCTCTCAATAGGAATGCAAGAAAGCATTATTGTTGTTGGAATTTGGACTGTTCTTAACTACAGACTGGAACATTATCTGTATATCTCTTACATGTCATAGATCTTACAAATGAAAAAGGAAAGGACAAAGTGTGTGATGAATATTTGCACCTTTCAAAAATGGAATGATATCCTATAACTCTAAATTATTTTGGAATTGTCCATTGTCTGGCATATATTTTATTATTTAAAACTGTACCTAAATAGAAAACATTCTGTGTATCTCAGTGTACAGTTTTTGCGTTTCATGTAGTAGTACTAGGCACCCTCTGGTGTCAGCTTCTGAGCATTAGTTCTCTGACCAGCTGCTGTGAAGTGCTTGTCTCTAGTTTCAATCCAAGAAATGCCTATGCATCACTTGAAGATATACATCTGGTGCATATGTCACTTTACAGAATTGTAGGGTCGTTATTTTATTAATAAAGAGTTGATGCTAAAGTTTCTAATTTCATAATTATGCAGTTGTGCTCCTTATTTTAACTTCATGAAAGATATATTTGGATTGAGCAGGATATGTGTCATAAGGCCAGGACAAGAATGGATATGCTGGAGGCATTTTTTGGAGACCACCATTTTAAAGGAATTGTAACCACCCAGATATAACTCCCCTCACTGCCTTCTGTGAGGTAGAATATATGTACCAAAACAGTCCAAGAAGCATATAGCACCTGAAAGTGAATGTTGGAAATGCCATTGGCAGTATCACGGCAGAAATGTGACATGTTTCTTGGAACATGTATTCAGAACAGTAGAGACCCCTTCCATCATATTTTGTGGACACTTTCTTAAGATATAAAATACTTTTTGTGTTCAGGTACGGTTTTAAATGGAACACATTTTAGCACAACATTGGAGATCTCTTGAGATAGTTGTAATAGGGATCATTTTATTTGGTGCTTTTGTCACAATGAGTGCAGATGTCACCATGTTGCAGTGCTCGTCTTGATTCTGCATCTTGTATAATTGGACACAATGTTTCATAAACAAGATTTTGTTGCTGAAAGAAAGCTTTTCTCCAGTGGTATATATAATTTTCTTTGTCATGTCTGCATAATAGTATGCTTTTTATCTAGTCTCATTCTATATCTGATTTTGAATTAACTAGCATCTCAGGTTAGCTTGTCTTTAACAGGTTACATAGACTGGGTTTATCATGATTTTAAAAACATCTAAATTTTAAATAATGCAATATAATCTATACTTGTTAAAAATAATTATGCAAGAAATGAATATATGTTGTAACACTTTTGAAAATCGTTTTATGAAGGAAAATTTCTTTGAAGCATGAGCTAACACTACAGACAGATGGAGCTTTAAAATTCATGGAAATCAGTAAATATTGATTGCATTACAACTATATAAAGGTTTCATAACATAGTACCACACAAATTGAAATTTACTGTATCTTGACATTGTCAGACCAGTTAATTTAAATGCCTTTTATATACTGCATTTTAGTGTGTTAAACATATCAGATGACATTTAATTTTAGTGATCTGCTATATTGAAGACAGTTTCCTCAAAATTTTCTCCATCATCACAAATATTTTTACTATAAAACTACAGTGCTGTTACGTATGTTATAAATTAATATTTGACAGGTCTTCATAATCCTGTATGCAAAAACTGCATGAAAATAATATCTCTTAACTTGCATGTTTAATAAGATCCTTGAGCACAAATTTTATTGGTAATGATTATTAAATGAAATAAAAACATCAGAAATAGTTTATATTTGCCAGATGATCTCTTAATCTCTGTTATTAGCACCTTTATTTTATAGTGAAGAACTAGTTTCCTTCCCATTTTAGTAAATGGACGCATGTTACCTACTAATGTCTGGTAGTGGGTCGTCATATGACTAGCGATCAGGTTTTTTCTCATCCAACTGTGTTTACTCCACCCAGGTTCTCCCATGAACAAAGCCAAAGTGGCCAACCACGAGAGACATATGCAACGGCTGCAGATTCAGGATAATGCTGCTTGTGGGGAAACCTCGTTAAATAGAGTAAGCATCAGCATGGGGAAGGGAGGGTCGGAGACAGCCGACTTAGGGATGTGGTCACCTCACCCACACCTCCCGGGAAGGTAGGGGCCAGGGAGACGGCAGCAGGAGCCATGGTTGTTTCATTATTGAACTTTCCCATTGCACTCGTACTGCACAGTTGTATTGCTTTTATGTCATCCTGTCTCTCCTAAAATAACAGACTTCTCTTGCGGGTGTATTGATGGTGGTGGCGGTTTTTCTTTTCTTCTTCCTCCCCTCCCCCTCAAATTATAATATTGACATACAAACAAATATAATTTTCTGCAGATAAATATGTTCAGCTTGAGTCATTTCAACTAACCTATAGGGAATGCCCCGGAATTTCTCCAAAACTTTAAGTCCTTTGACACTAACAATAACAGATTATGGTGTCTGCTGTAACTATTCTTTGTTAGTGCTGTGTATAAAATTGTACCCTTGATCAGTGGCTCATAAAGAAACATTAGTATCCAGACATGAACCTTAAACTCTATGTCCCATACAGTTTCTTTTACATGTAGCATTGTTTTATAACCCCTATTTTAGTAATGATGGTACCAGATGTTTATCTGCTGTGGGTATTTTGTCACTTAAAATTGGTTTTATATCTGGCCATCTCTTCTAGTGAACCCTGTATTTGTATTGACAGCACTTGAAAATGGTTGATGGTATTACAGATATGTTGGGTGTGTTTGGTAAAACATATGGAAACATTTTCTTTTACCTTTTCACTATTCTGCCCATGGAGGACCAACAACACTATTTTTGGATCCCATGTTTACACTGGGAAAACTCCAACATAAAATGTGTATTTACAGATTCCCAGGAGCCAGTTCTCATTCATTTTTATTCTCCTCCATTGTTATGATGCTTTCTTGTCTTCATTTCTATTTTGATTTTTGGGGTATCCATTTTGTGTAACCTGTACATATTCACTGCATACTTTTCATTGTTTTCGTAACATCCAAACTCCATCTTTGTTTTATCTAATTTACCTTGCTGCTTAGTGATATGGTGACCAAAATTTTTGTCTGCTACTAAAACTCATCTCTCATCCAAAAATAAGTTTATATTTTTCTTGTCTTATATGTATGAGTAGCTCAGCCTATAAATTTTGTCACCATTTCAAATGGTAGTTCAGAATTTAATATTGCAGGTACTCCCACTGTTTTCTACAGTAATTTGAATAGTAAACTGGTGATAAGTATTTATCTTATATATTGACATGAAAATGGCCTTACTTTATTAATTGTTAATAGAATCCATATCTCTTCAGCTGATCCTTAACATAGAATATACTCTTGCTTTGCAAATATATTTTTAAAGTAGGTTTTTATTTGTCACTTTTCTTGTTCACAACTATATACAGTGGATACTGGTTAATTGGGACACATTGGGACTAGTACACTTTGGCCCAATTATGCGAAGTTCCACATAAAACGTTAAAAAGGTTTGTTCTTTGAGATTTATCCCAAATAGATGGCTGCCCCAATTAACCGATGGCCCAGTTAACTGGAATCTACTGTATTGTTAAATTATTATTGAGATTATTCACTGTTAGAGTTATTCTTGCAGATTTTTTGTTGCATTGAAAATATAACATTTTTTCATTGGCAGTGGTCAGTAATTTCATGTTCCCTGAAGTGTGTGTAGTATGTAAACATAATAAAAGTTTAGCAAATCACTTCTCTAATTTAATGGTTTAGTGGTATCATTTTGAGTCCATCAAATGTGTAACTGATATTTATGATCATAGACATGAATAAGAAATCAAATCAGTTCTAGTTTTTGTTTTAATTTGGCTAGGATGGATCTAGAAAGCAGTCGGTCATCAACAGTATGTACTATTATTGTGCCCCAATTAAAGGGGTGGAGTTACCCATTTTTTTACAGCAATTCTGAATTATGTTCCACCATTTTTCATGCATGTGATGCTGTGTGTGAATAATTGTTAGCTGATCATTTTGCTGATCTTTGCCATATAGACACACTGTCTATAAATTCTTAAAACTGAAACAAACATAATTCATTATTAGCCCTCTTTATGTAAATAGAATTTTGGTAAGTGTAATTTTAATTGTATTCATATATGAGCTGTTGGTTCATTTATATTTATTAAGTTTGGCCATTTGTCAGTTGCTGATGTTTTGTCTAATTTCATCTGTCATGTGTTTTGGCATTTGACATTGACACCTGTAAGTAAATTCACACAGTACCTGATTATGTACTTCATTGAAATATGAGCACAGTAATGTTTCTCATTGACTATGATGATCATTTTCTTATGTAGAAGGATATCTTTTGCCACAAAATTATATGAATGCTTCCTTGGTATGAAAGTAAATTTACTTAATTTCAAAAATGTATTTTCTTCAGTGTTGCCATTTGTTTACTATAAGAATTGTTTTTCTTTCTCCCTCTTGTAATGCCAGTGCATGTTTACTGTTTCAGGAATGATGTCTCGGAGACGGGGACATACCGAAGCCTTTCTGGACAGTTGTCCACTGAATTCTCCTGCTGACATTAGTGCACTTAGCACATCTCATTCCCCCCTCATGACTGGTCCACTCCCCAGTAACTACCACAGCATATAGCAGCACAACTTCCTCATGGTACATTTTACCAGTGATAGTTAATCTTGCTGCAGCCACTCACAGTTTGCTCCCATAATTACTCCCTACCCTTATGTTTATGTCACAAGATCTCTCATACTTGAACACTTGTACTATAAATGCGCCATTTGAAGAAAACACAAATATGTCTGTCAAATCTTGAACTGTCACAAACAAAAGTTCTCAAGCATCACGAACAGAAGTTGTCCTCAAGCAAAGTTCTGTCTGCAGTATTTCATTGCCTAACGGTTTGATACATCCCTTATCGCAGATAATAGTATTCACTTTTCTTATACTTCTGTAACTGCACCAGTTTGTGACAGTTGGGGATATTATATGATTTCTTTACCATCCTGTGCTCTCATGCTTGGCTACATTCTTACAAGCAGATGACATTTTCCAGTAACCTTGTCTGGTGCTGTCATCAGTATGACTCAGTATCCAGCTATTAAATAATGCACATTCAGCCATATTTCCTACTTTGAGAATTTTTTTCAAGGTGCTAAGCAATGCAAGAAAGTGCTTTCTGAATACTGACTGTTATTGAAGGCTGCTTTATTGTGCACGGTTTGTGGCAGTATTATTGAAGTTCATATTTTTGTCAGTACCAAACAAGGTTTTTTATGTGTACCCACATGACAGAAGTGAGCTTTCCATGAAGACAAATATGCAGTGATTTTATAGCAATTCAAGATTAGACAAGTGGACTCTTTGTTTCTGTTGTGCAGTTTTGTTATAGTGTCCATAAATAACTTAATCAGTAGGATATTCTTGTGGTGGTGTTGAGTTTTCCTGAAAGTAAAACAATGTTACTGTTTAGTAAGATTTGACGTTCTCACAGTGGTGAGTGTGAAGATGGCTGTCTTCTGGGTTGTAGTGCTGTGTAGTCTACAACTCAGAAGATAGATATCTTAGTGTTGCTGTTAAATTTACTTGCATGGGCATTTATTTTTTAATTCAGGAAAAATTAGGATTAGGTAAACTTTCAGTTTGAGATCCCTTGCAGGCAACAGTATAGTTCAACGTAGAACCCCCTCCCACCCTAGTAACATTAGTGTCGTTATTAAATGCTGCATACCTTATATTCCTTCATATAATAGCAGTATCATCAGTCCATATAAATTTATTTCCCATTACAGTTTGATACATAAGAACCCTCCATAATTCAGTGAACTTTAATCCAGCAGAAAATAACAAAAATATGTATCCATTTTGTACCCTCAACAAGAAACTACCTACTGTGCCTCAAGAGTAATGACAGACATTTGAAAGAAGAAAGCTTATTGTTGATTAAATTCTTTAATATTTGCTATATTTTGTATATTTTGGTATGAATTTCTGTAAAGTGATGAAGGGAATGTTGTAGGATTCATTAGGTCAGTTACTTTTCTGTTACAAGCAATTTTACAACCTTATTGTTATAGACTTACTGAGGCATGTGTTAGAATGGTATTATATATAGACTTAATAAAAAAAGTGATTTGTAAAGGCTAAGTAAAGTTTATTTCCTGATCATATTTGTTAGCACAGAATGCTAAGAGTTTACATTGGCACATACAGTTTAAAACTTGAAATATTTATATTTAAAAGCAGGAAAAGTAATATTTACTGTATGTAGTGAAAAGAGAAAGAAAGAGAAAAGTGTTTCATAAAAAGCAGAACTGACCAAACAAAAAATTTATTTGAGATAATATGAGACGGTCTGCATAATTAACAGTAGACACAAATTATACCTTGTGTATGTGTGTGCTAGAGAAACTAATGAAATGTTAAACTGTGTTGTAAAAACCATGTTACATTGGAGCACAATCATATTTTTTCCGGAAGAAATACGTTCCAATTTTATCTAGTTTGTGGATGTCTTTATTTGCATATGTTTTTTAGACAAATTCTGTAAAATTTTGTGAATAATCAAAACCTTCATTTTATATTGCCCTCAAAACTCCAAATCTGATTATGGATTTTTGTGGAATGGTATTTATAAGCCTGTATAAGTAGTAACTGTGTGTTGTTTCTGTGTCTGTGATCAAAATGATGTAAGGATGAATTGTAATATAATTATAGAAAACAAATTGGTACATTGAGCTTGTGATCCACACCTTCAGATGTGTAATGAGATCACTTCCCCTAAATTGTGTTTCCTTTCATGTTTGATTCACCGAACCCGAAGGTTCATCACCGACTTAACCAAAGCCCTGTCCTGGGCCAACAAAATCCAGTCTCCTTCAACTCCTGTCTTCCATAGATCCCACCTGACATTATCCTCCCATCTATGTCTAGGTCTCCCCAGTGGTCTCTTCCCCTCAGGCTTCCCAACCAATACCAGGTGCACACCTCTTGTCCCATCCATGTGTGCTATATGCCCCCAGCCCATCTCATTCTTATCGACTTTAATCACCCTGACAATTCTGGGAGGAGTATAAATTTTAAGTTCATTATTATTTAGTTTTCTCTAGACCCCGTCTTCTTTCCTAGGCCCAAATATCAACACCCCATTCTCAAACACATGCAATCTATGTTCCTCCCTAAGAGTGAGATCATGTTTTGCACCCATACAAAACAACGGGCAAAATCGTTTTGTATACTTTAATTTTAAGGTTTACGTACAACACATTTTTTCTTTATTTATATACTTTTTAAATTATAATTAGTAGTATGACAGTTTTTGCTACATACTTATGACACCAACATTAAACATTTCTAATGTTTCACAGTAAGTTGGTCTGGATTTTAATGCTACCATATTTTCGGTGTACAAGACATACATTTTTGTTTTCGTTAATGATTGTGCATCTAAGATAGTAGTGCCAGTGCATTTGGAGTCTTGAGTTGGCCACAATTGGTTAATTTGGGTTCAAATTTGTTTCCCGTAGAAGCAGTGTTAAATAATCAGCAAAATTTCATTATGCTAATTGTTACAAATGAGAAATTGTAATCAGTGACAATTATCCTTTACCAGTCGGTGTTTTATTTACCAAATGCCTGATTATTATATATAAGAAATATCAATACTTCATGAACGCATATCTCCCTCTCAAAAGTCAGTTGCACCTGATAAAGGTGGCTGTTGTAATGTCTACCTAAACCATCACGGATACCAACCTTATATGATGGCGGAGACAGTATGACCTCTGAAACACAGGAGACAGAGATCTTAATATCAACCTTGTTTGTGTTGCTCTAGTTAATTGTCTCAGGCAGCTCTTTCGCGGTGTGTAGTATGTTAAAGAGAATGAATAATTTTGACACTATTTGTCGTCTTTGTGGGGAATCAGAAGGGATACAATTTAAAATATTTGATTCAAGGAGTGATTATGTGTCTAAAATTCATCAGTTACTGCCGATAATGGTAAGATGTGAATTTATCCTAACATCAGATTGTAAGTTTACAACTGTAAGCAGCTTTTGACATGATTTATGAAAATGTTCACCAGAAATTGGAACGAGATATATTTGCAGATTCTTTCATTGAACCTGGTGTTAATAGCTTCGCTACTACTTGTGCTGTGGTTGCATACGGGCAGACTATTCGAAATATAAAGCCTAATACTGATTCAAAGTAGTATGACCTATTTGTAACATAACGAATACAGCATTTAGTCTCCGTGTTGACGAACTCTGCATATTATCTCCAATATGAAAGTGGAGCATGCCTTGTTTTAAACTATCACCGTAACAGTTTTAATCAACACTATTTATTGGGGATTGATCGTAGGATTGCGTATGCAAATAGAAAGTACAATCATTGTTTGACGGACAGCCATAGCAGCTGGTAATCATGAAGAAGAAGTAATTTGAACTCTCAATTACAGCAGACAAAAATACAACAACAAATTCAAGGCGTACTTTACAGAGCAATGTGACTGCTTCATACTACAGTTCATATTTTTGTCAGTAGCAAATCAAGTGGAAGAATGAGATATCAAGTAAGAAACAAAGGTTCTGAATTGTTCTTAACCTTTTAAAGCCCAGTAGACCTCAATTGAGAGTCAGACATACTACAGTTTTAATAATCCACCAATTGTTTTATGGTCTGTATTGATAAATTAGAAGAAAGATAATCATATGTTCAGTATATCTGCCAAACTGATGAACTTCAAATGTGTCATGTTCCAGAATCTGTGTGGTTAAAATAATTTGAAAGAAAGACCTCTTTTTTTCAGAACCCTAAAAAAAACAAAAGTTGGATTATGTTTACCTTTAACTGGTGGGGTCACTGCTACAAATCATAATAAAAATAAATGTTAAAACAGAAATAGATTAAACTGTAAATTAAAAAAACAAAATTAAAGCATAGAAGTTAAAATATCAGGACAATAAAGAAATAGTTATAGAGTTATTGAAGTCCATATTACCCATAGATGAAGTACAGTCACTTGAAGAAGAATTGGATAGACACATCATGTAATTTATAGACACAATAGGGGATGTATATGGTTGCTGAAAAATATAAGAAACCTTATCTTCTGTGACCCATCTGTTTAGGAGGTGCAGAAGAATATGAGGTACATCTAGAATTGAGTCTATCTTTTCCAGACTTTCTTTTTAAATTTTAGTCATAATATGACATGTTCTTCATACCAGGTGTCATGAAAACTGTTCATTGTCTCCTGATGTAATTCATTCAGGGATCACATAAATACAAATAAAAAGATTTAAAAGCAAGAACTCTAACCATTGTTATACTAAAAAATGATGATCTCTAAATACACAGATCAGTGCATCAACAGATAATTCACAAAATACTGGCAGGATACTAGAAGACTTAATTATATTACTAGCAGTAGTGCCGCTACTTTGCTGCTTCAGCTACCACATTTTGGTTGACTTCAGTTGAACTACAAAATGTTACCTTAATGCTAATCATGATGGCTTTCATAACAAATCAGGCAAATAAGATATAAGAAGCAAAATATAAATACCTCTCCTGTTAACACAGATAAGGCTCTAGAAATTAAGTCATGGCAATAAAATTGTTACATATTTTTATATAGAGTAAATTCCACTACCAAAAATTAAGCTATATCAGATTTAAGTATCATCTTAAGTTTCCATTTTAATTACCTGTTTGATGTGTTGATAGTTATGTTATTTCAAAGGTGGATTTACCTCTGTTCAGATTCCTTAGAACTCGTCTGTTGAAATTAAAAGTTGTTTTTATCATACTTCTTTTACATCCAGGTAAAGGGTATTTTTCTTGAAACACAAGCTATAGTGTTAATTCTGTATAAACTTGATTTATTTGCATTAACATAATTTATTTGATATCAGGTTCATGAGAAGGATCCATGGAGTAAACTCATTTGCCATCATTGTGCATGCAACCTGCAGGAATTTTATGATTTCCGAGAATTGTGTGTAAGCACGGACACTTATGTGAAGACACGAGTGTCATGGGAGCCTCAAAGACAGTCCACTCCTGTTACATCACAACATGCATCTATAGAACCAGTAAGATGATAGAAGCGATAGATCAATACGACTTCATCAGCCTGTGCTTCTTGTGTTGCAACATTTACATATCTTTTAACTCTGTCATATTTATTTTCATATTGTTATTGTAAACATTCATATAGTAGCCTGGGCTACTAAATACAATTCCAGTGCTAGTGTCATGATATAATTTAATAGAACTGTCCTGTCAAATACTGGTATCAACAGAATTATTACATGAACTGTCACTAGTGTTCCTTTCATTGCTTCTGTGCCCCCACTGTTTTTTATCCAGCGTGTTTAACCGAACAAAGGAGGTATATAGCATTTGCATTTAAATTCAAATCTAAAATGACAGTGCCTTATAACCATGGTACAAGTGATTATTAGTCATCAGTATGGCATACAGTTTACAATTACTGAAGTTATGGATCTGTAATTATGAGCCAGGATACCTCAGTCAGTATAGTGACTAGCTACAGACTGGACTACCAGGGTTCGATCCCCGACAGGAGCAGGGGATTTTTCCTCTACTCTCTACATCTAGACTAGGGATAAAACGCAGCTGGGGCATGACGCTGACCACTCACCCCTGTCGTGTAGAGGTTAGGAGTGAGTAGGAGCTATACCTCCTCACCCCTCAAGCACCTACTTGGTGTATAGTGGGACAGCTTTTTATGGGTCTGTAATTACAATTTGAACAGGAAAACTATAATTATTGGCAACATTGCAGTTGCCATATTCAAGGTGAAGATGGCATTTGCAATGTTTGCTGAAACTTTGGTCTACTTTCAACATTTCATATGGCCTAATCGTGAAATCTGAACTTACTCGTGAATATGGTGTGCCAGATTATTTCTTTTAACCCCAGCATACATATAGGAATATTGAGTTGATGTCTTCAGGTGGTTAAATGTCCATTCATAATTGTTTACAGCCATTCACTATTGATACCACATGATTTGTTGATTTATATTTGGGTAAATATGGAAAGTTTGAGATTAGTTTTATTTGCTATCAGGGGGGACTGTTTTGTGACTCATCTCCATAAAATTGGCCAGTATAAGTCATATTTTCTTACACAAAATTTTGCTTCACCATTCATTGAAATTTATAGTTCTAGTAAGTTAAAACATATTTTTGCTTGTATTTAAATGTATTTTATATTCCTGTGGCAAATCTGAATGTAGTGACAGGTTAATTTGGCTTCGGTTATATATTATCTTACTTGATTTTATTAGCTGTAAAAATCATCAATAAAACACAAATTCATTGACATCACATTAGAGTATATCATATGAGTACATTTTAAAGTGGCTCAAAGTCATTGTTACAATACTGTGAACATTCCCTCTCTGTTATTCTTGTGTATTTACAGAGAGATGTGCACATCAAAGAGGAAGTATCGAGTGGCCAACCATCAAACTCATCACCATTATTGCCAGAGATCAAGTTCAGTCAAAACACCCTAGTGTCCAATAATTTGTATACCGAAGAATGTGCTGGTAATTTACCACACACTTCAGTACTAACACAGGCCCCTCTTCCTGCATCAGCTCCTCCCACAAATGTCGCATTTTTTAACTCTGAGCAGGGTGAATGCTTTCTGCCAGAAGAGCTAGAGGCAGCACACTCGGACAGCAGCGTAGTTGATCAAGATGCAGGGTATGTGGATTTCCGTAGGAACTGTTTTAATACCTACTTTAATAATCAACTTTACTGTCTAAATTTGATTAAACACTCGACTTGTGTAGGTTATACACATCAGATGGGAGGATGATTGTGAGTGATGAAATTTTTAAAAGGATGTGGAAATGGCCGTGGTTAATTTAATGTATTATCCCTTCATTTGCCTGGTGAATCTGTGGAAAAATCACCAAAAATCTTATTCTCCTGATACCTTGTCTGGGCTGAGATTCAAACCTGGTTTCTCCCATAGATGAAGCAAGAGTCCTAATTGCTTCATTGTGATGTTATTTTATTTTGATGGGCTTCATATTATACTTATGTGAGACATGGAGTTGTTGGGGAAAGTATAAGCCTAAATTGAAATATTCTGCTGCCAAGAATAAGCACATTCTCACTCTTTAGTTTCCATTTATTTCATGCTTGCTTGTATAATGCCTTCTTTCAAATTTTAATTTTAGAATTCATAGTATATACAGAGTGAGTCAGAAGTATGTTTACAAACTTCATGTGCTTGTTCCAGGATCAAAAATAAGAAAAAATGTTCCTATGAACATGGGGTCGCAAACGTTTCATTTTCAAAATAATAATACCAATGTTTCGGATGTCCTTGTTCCCTCCATTATCAGGGTGATTGAGGCAACAAGGACCTCTGAAATGTTGATAAATTTCAATCAGACTACACAGCAATACTATTGACTGCCATAAGAACTCCAAATCCAGCTCATATTTCTTGATTTCATATCTCTGAATTTCCTTATAGGTCTCCTAATTTGGGAGTAAATAAGAAAATAACATTTAACACAAATACTACAGCATCAGGAACTGAAACAAGAAAACGCAACAACACTTCAGATGATGTTCAAGTGTCCAAAAAGAAGAAAAACACTTCAGAATCTCATTCAAGATCTGATCATGAGATTGAAGTTAACACTGCAAAATCTGATCCTTCAAATACCGAATCCCAAGATTCCAATAAACAAAGACAGAAAGTAAATCATGAACCTGGAATAAAATCTCATGCTACAATCCATAAAGTGAGTGTAAATGATAACATATCAGTAAATGTCAGATCTAATGCAAAAGGTGCTGAACAAAAAAACAAAAACTGTAAATCTGGCCCAAAATCCGAGGTTGGAGGGAAGGATCATAATTTAGAAAATAATTACTCTGATGCCAAAATTGCTAACTCCTTGGATGCAATAGACATGACAGATAATATTGACAGCTCTGTAGAAAAAGTGGATGAAGGTGATCGAGCTGAAGGACTTATGCCACATGTGTTATTAACCAGAATTCCAGGAATATGCAACATTTACACATGTTCTGTGTGTGAACGCATATTCACTTCCAAGGGATGTGCAAACAATCATGTGTGTGTGTAAGAACAGAGTACTTAATTCAGCATCACCTAATAAAGATGAACATAGGACAGTGCGCTAAGGAAGAAGGTCCCTAAATGTAAGGCACAAGAGGGAAGGGTACCTGAAAACAGGGCAGCATTGAAAGAGAGTAAAGGCTCCCGCACACCAGAGCGGTGGCGGTGGCGGGCGCGATGGCGGTGGCGGTCATGGTGGCGATCAAATCCTTTCACACCATACAACGCCGTGGTAGCGATCAGTTTGAAAAATCGCGTAAGCACAACATCGTAAACAATGCACCGATTATCTCGTCTGGAAGAAGAAACGTTACTTTTGGCAGCGCTAGTTGATGAGGAGCAGCAGCAAGCCAGGTTATTATTCCTTTTATTGTGTACAATTGTAGAAATTTGAGAAGTAATTACAAATATTAACATCACAATTAATATATATTAATGAATTAATATATTTTTCAGAAAGAAGCGTAAGAAAACGTGGATTCACGACCTTAATCTACTTCGTGAACATGAAGGAGAATTTCATACTTTATATCGGCAACTGCGACAACATGAAGAACGTTTCTATATTTACTTTCGGATGCCAATTGAATGCTTTGATGATGTACTGGACCTAATTAAGGGAGATATAAGGAAGAAATGTATGAAGTAAAGTGACGCGGGCAGCGATCAAACTCGACAAGCTGCATCTGATTGCCACCGTGGAGTAGAACGCTGCCCGCAAGATCGCTGCCTGTCTGAAAGCAGGAAATATCTGACCGCTACATCGCTCTGGTGTGCGGGAGCCTTTACAATCGTATCTTTGTTCAAAGGGACTTTGCCACAATTGGCAACGCAGCATTCCTTCTCATAATTCCAGTACACGATCATAAACGTAAGCATGCGGACGTTTACTCACTGTAGCTCTTGCGAAATGGAAACTGTCCATTCAGTGCATGTTCGTGTCATGTGTGAACTGAGGCGTGTTGGTTGTGACTTGTTAAAAGTCCATGGAAATGAAGTTCTGCGCTGCCTTGAAGTAAGTGATTTCTGAGTGAGTTGTGTACCGTGAAGTCTCCTTGTGTTACTAGGGGATCCGGGGGGAATGCAAACCTTATATTATTATGGCAGGTGTTAATTGTAAGTCTTCTATAACGAAAATAAGTCATGATAGGCTGTGGCTGTGCGATATACAATGTGATGGTGGAATCAATATGCTGAAATATTTTTAACATCCTTCGATTGATAGAGGCAGTTCAGCAGTGGCAGCCATCAAAACAAAGTATCGTTCTACGATGAACGTGGAAAGCGACCTCAGAACGGCCATTTTAAAAGTACAGAGCATTTACCTGGCAAGACGTATTTTATTTTGGATGTTTTTAGATTGACTGTTAATTTAAAATCTTGTATTTGTTGCTGTCGTAAATAAATTATTCAACACTTTTATATTTTATTGACATTTCAATTCGTGTCTGTACTATTGGACCATGCATTTTACATCGATTAATAATGTGGTATACCTTGTTTGCCACCAGTTTAGATTTTATTTTTTGTAATTAAAAATATTACAGTCATGGCGTTGTGTGTGACTCAATTTCACACCTCTGTCCCAATCTCTACACATTCACCCTGATGATGGCAACTGCAGTGTTTGGCGAAACGTTTGATAACTGTCAACATTTGACGCGGCCTGTCCTCGTTATGTTAATGTTTGTAATCAGAACGTAACGGAGAAAACATCGAGCAGGTTGACTTGTCTCGGCATTTGTTTGCAGAGACTCAGTAAAACCACGAAACCCCTAATCACGATCTATAGCTGCTCAACGCCACTTAGATCCTTAGTACACTGGCATTCTCTGTACAAATCTGACTTCAGCACTGGTTCAGATTTGTCACAAATTTTCTCCTAAACGTTGACTTTCACCTGGCGAGTTCTACTTTCAACCCTGCGTGCCAGTTTCGTCTGCTTAGTGCTGAAACGGAAATGACGGTCGAGAACAAGTGCGTGCATGTTCGTAGGATAAAAAGGGTAAGTTTAGTCATGTATGTGGGGTACGCATGCGCAGCTGCTAGGTCCCCCTCCTGCTGGACCCTCAGAATACGACCATTCAGCCCCTCTGTCAATGTGATCCCCTCGATTTCCGCTCCCACACCTTCATGTTTACATTTACAGTTTATTTCTCTTACGCTAGATGTCGGACCAGTCATCCTTTGGGTGCGCATGTGCGTTGCATTTACAGCTAGTGCATTTCTCTTACGCTAGATGTCAGACGCTGCGTTCTCAGCACGTCCTGCCTGTGGTCTACCGCTCGTCTTTGTGCAACTGTTTCAGTGCTGTGGCTGTCTTTGTGTGAGAAGCGTCTCCAGATTTGGTTTGGTTCGCGTTTAAATATATGCTGTGGCGTCTGTTGTTTACGTCGTGTCCATTACTTATCTTTGTTCTCAATTTGTAAGACGAGAATATACAAAGGTAGATAGACGAAACGTGTGCAGAAAACATGGAATATTGCGTTCTGTTATTTATGCGCGAGCGTTAATTTAAAAAAAGTAATTTCCGTTTGTCGTAATTGTGTGTGTGGTGGTTCAACGTAGCAGTCAGAATTTCGTGTGATAACTCATCATCCCCATCTGGGGAACATCCTTCCAAAATGGTTAGCAAGTGAGTATGCTGTGTTACTAAATATTTTTATAATAAATTTAGAAAAGTAGGCAGAATTGTTACAAACACAGTCAAACTGGTTTCCACATACAAACTCTTGAAAATGCGTTACTATGGTAACCCGCGCGTAAATGTACTCTTGGTTTCTGTGTTGCCCACTGTGACTGCAGGGTTTGCAGGTGTGTAAGCTTGGCAGCTACGTAGCTGTAGGATGAGTTGTACGCCTACAAAGGTGTCTCCGTTTACTCACAATATGAATTTGTTTACTCAAGTCTGTAATTTTCTTACGTTAAGTAATGGTACCAACCTTAACAACAAAACGTAACGTGTTCAGTAAAACCATCGGTGATGAACCAGTGTGTGTGATTACGAAAGATAAGGGAATTGCATGTTTATAACTACAACGTGTTAATATACAATTTATTAAAATTCGCGACACAACCGAAGCCTTGTTGCATGCAGTACACTGATTAATAAGTGTATTATAGAAATGTTAGCAGTCTAATAAAATTTCCTCACGCCTCTACGTCGACCCAGCCCCCTCGGGGCGTGTCGCTGACCACTTTACCCCAATTAGTACCAAGGTTGAGAATGAGTATTACCAAGTTGGAGGGACAGTGTGTGAAGTTGGGCTTGCCTTTACGGGCCTGGTTCAAGCAGAAACCTGTAAAGTGACGTAGACGAACTCCAAACCGACCCAGGAACATCGTACGACAACGATTCCTTCATTCGATACAGAGAAGCCCACAGACGCGGCCATAATGAAAACAAAAACAAATAAATTATACAACGTGAAGGAAATTATGAAAATATCGTATTCAACGAAACAAGCGACCCGTGTAATTATTGTCGGCGTGATTTTATGATAATTAATCTTCGAGGTCAATAAAAGGCGAGGCGGTCAGCATGTATCTGTTATTTAAGTAAGATTCATAGAGTGCGTGATCTTTCCCATTGATACCATAAAATATAAGTTTAAATAACAAAATGTCATGATCAACACAATCAAAAGCTTTTTCTAAATCACAGAAAATGCCTCCCACTATTTGTTTGTTAGCCTCTTCTATAACATTATTCAGAATTTTACAATACTTAACATAAAATGCTCTTGCATTTGGGTCTTTACTGTTCCTACTGTAGATAAACAGACTCCTTTTATTCTTGCAAGATACTTTTATTTCTTGCGTAATCCAGTCATTCTTTATTTTGCCTATACTTTCATATGTAATAGGAAAACTAGCTTGCTTTGTTTTAATTATTAACCTGTCTGTTTGCTGTTTCTATGTTCAGTTTTAGCCCTTTGATCAAAAACAGTCCTGCTAGATGCGCATCAGCTGCTAATGTCGTCTGCAGGGACTTGGACATATTCGAGATGAAAATTGTCACACTTCTTCACATTCTATAATAGTATAATTTACTTAATTGATTTAAATTATTTTTACAAATATGCTAAAATATTTAGTTGCAATTTTCTTGTGTATTAACATCCTACATATTAATGTATTTTATATTCTCCTTGTTTTACCTTTTATGTTTTTATTGTGTTCATGTGCTCATCTCTGTGCTTTATTTGTAATTGGCCTTCTGGCTGTTGATACAGCACACTAATAATAAAGAATTGAAATGAATTATTATTATTATTATCCCATCTGCTCCCACATGCAGAACATTGCATAAAACATTCTGTAGGGTTGAAGTCTTGTGCAGTAGCAATCTGCATTCACTGTTGCCCCCATGGTATGTGAACTCTAGAATTTCCTTTGTGTCCCAGAATGTCATCAACAGTTTCTACACAGACTGCACAGTTTTGAACTCTGCCTTCGTGGAATATAAATTCAATGAGACTACAAAAGAGTGGCTGGAAGTGATGGGAGTTTTAGATCTTAGTATATTCTGTATAGATGACAAAGTGAAGTGTTACAATTACAATGTACATAGAAAGTTAGAAATTTTATGAGAAACTTGTCACTTCATGCAACCAAATTTAGTTTTTTCTAAGGCCTACAAAATTTATTCCAGACAAAACTTTTAAGTTTATGTACTTATTTCACAATTTGTACCATGGGTGTATTTTAATAAATTTAATCAGTAACACTAAATTCGTTAGGTATGACATCAAAAATTCTGCACTGACCCCATGTTTGTAAATATTTAATACATTATTTATTTGTATGTTTATGGTCGGTCACCATATCAAATTTGATATGCCTACCTGCAGTTATTAATTATGTATCACTATCAGATTGAAAGATACGAAAAATACCATAATTGTTACTCAACACGTAACAATTCGTAGCTTTTTTCATTAGAACTATTATAATAGTTTAAATTAAAAATGTAGTCTACCTATGATTTGCTCTCTCGTGGTAAAAGCATAAAGTTTTTCAGAAACAGGTCGTACACAGGTTATCTATGGGATGGCTCCCAACGTATTATATTGTGGTATTAAGATGGCTGTGTTGTAGATGTAGTGCCGTGTAGTCTGGTAGAAGTTTACCAACGTTTCAGAGGTCCTTGCTGCCTCCATCATCGGGCGATTGTATTATTTGTACGTGTAATCAAGTGTATGAAAATCGATATTACTGTTCTCTCTTGGTATTACCAGTGCTGTGCAAGGCGTGCCGAGGTTGGTAGTTGCTGGTAGTAAGAAATTGACAGCAGTGATTATGAAGATTGTTAGAGTTGAGTTTTCTTTCAAGTTAATGTAAAATATCGCCGTTTAACACATGATTTTAGAATATAATATATGTGCATTCCTTAGATCTTTCATAGGTCTGAGCCAAGGATATAAAACATGTCGTAGCACAAATACAATACTCGTTTCTAACATAAATATAAAATGACAAGGTTGTGACAGTGATTTACAGTCTGCTACCGTATTACTGAAAATTACTACACAAAAAATTATCACCACTTTTGCTTACATATATTTATAATTGAGAGGTAAATTGTATGGAGTAGGAGATCTCTTTTTTGTACTGACAAACGTTTTTTATGTGGTGATTGAGACTTATGAAAGTAGTAATTTTCTGCAATAAAGAAGAGTTCTGTGTTATAATTTCAATCAAAGTACTTCACAGTGCAACATTGAAGTTTGTAGTCCCATGAATAATCATTGTTTTGATGCTGTGGCTTAGAGAACAAGTATATTGTTCAGCAGCCTAGATTGACTGTCTAGTTGAGGTTATAAAATAAGAAACTTCAGTTCAGCTACCATTCAAAAGATAAAAATGTTTCACTCAAATCAACATCATAATTATACTAACATTTTATTCAATATTCCTTCAGGGTTATTGCTCTAGATGGAACTTCGAGAACCAAAACGCAAATGTCGAGTACGTGTATCTTTGCAGCAACCTTTCCCAGTTCTTAACAGGGATGTAACGGCTATACCAACAAATAAAGCCCTTTGGCAAGTGTACACAGGAAAATTCAGTGGAGACTGTGTTGTGGTAGATGCTCCAGATGAAATGGTTGCTCTTCATAATATGGTAATATATTTGGTTATGTGGGTTTAATTTTAGTTTTAGCAGTATAGTAACATTTTATGAGGTTATCGAACATCATGTTTTGCCTGTCTTTAATTCTCTGTTTTTCACTAATCATTTATTAGAAGAAGACAAGAATCTTGAATCATTGAAAATCTGTTAATTTACAGGGTTTTTTTGGAAAAGGATCATTATCCCGTGGAGGTCCACAATTTGATAAGGAAAGGCGAGGAATCCCACCTTTCATTCGCCATCGACAGTGGAAACGCAGATGCAAATGGGCAGAACAGCAGGAGGCTATGAAGAATGATGATGTGAAAGTTAGTAGTATACAGGATTCTGTTATGGCAGGTCATGTTACAAGTGAAATCATAGTAACTAAAGAAAACCAAGCATCTGAGTCAAGTGCAAACGCAATTCTAGAAGATAAGACCCAAGATGAGAATTCCAAAAAGGTTTGTGATGTGAACAGTATAGTTAAGACAGATGATGAAATTAAAACAAACTCAACAGAAAAGATATTGAACAATTCTAATGGCAGCATTGTTAAAAAGGCAAATGATACAGTTGAAAAGATACATGATATAGTGAATATATATGAAGAGATCATAACACTTGATTCTTTAGAGGAAGATGATGATAATCCTGCACCTGTAGGCAGTGAAAGTGAACAGAGAAGCACATTAAAGTTAAATAACTTGAATAATGCTAATGAACAGAACAGAATTGCGCAGGAAAAGTGTCAGAGTCCCGAAGAAAACAACACCATTTCTGTGCTTGAGAATGATAGAGCTGAAGAAGGTATTACAGAAGAGTATGATGAGTCTTCAGATGACAGGAGTGAGGAGAGGATGTTACTGGTTCTTCCTGATAGTGACAGTGATTATGAAGGATATTTGAATGATGTGTGTCCTAAACTAGAGAAAGAACAATTTCCAGTTTGTGAAACTTTACATCTAACACTTGAAGAAGCCTTCTTCTTAAGTTTTGGTCTTGGTTGCTTGCAAGTTGTTGATTTGTTTGGAAATTGTCTCTCATTAGATGGTATGTGGCAATTATTTTGCAAATCTCAGAAAGACTTTATCCAGAAATATGTTGCATACCATTATTTTCGTTCTAAAGGATGGGTGGTGAAGCCAGGAATCAAATTTGGTGGTGATTTCTGTAAGTTGAATTTTTATATGAATTTCTTGTTTTCATCTAGACAGTGCATGTAGTTAAAATATGTGTATTTGGTTAATTTATTAACTAAGTCATAGTCTTCATGCATAATGCATGTACTGCTATAACATTATGCTATGTATGAATTATATCATGCAAGATTTGTTTATTATAACAGTATTCAATGATGGTTGCCAGTTACTTCCTGATCACCATCATCTTTTAATTAACATTTTTTGGCCCCAATCTGTTCATAATTTCTTTTGCCTGTCTAATCCATGGACTCTGTAGTGGTAAATTATTTGATATTTTTGGCATAGTTGCATAGAATATGACCACACCTGTCTTTAATTTCATCAAGTTTTCTTGTAGTCAGTATTGTTCTTCTGGATTGTAACACTGAGGATACTTCCATTTTGAAGAAACATACCATCTCCATTTTCAGGGCTGAACACCAACATTTTCATTACCGTGGGAACCACAGATCTTTTCTTGTAGCATTTATACTTTCAGAATTTGTGTCAGCTGTTTGTTTTTGGATATTTTACGTTGTTTTACTAGTCTGTAGAAATTTAATTTCTAATGCTGCTATTCTTGCATCTGTTATTGTTCCTGTCTGAATTTCTGCTACATTCACAAAAGAAAGCAAGTGATATGTTTTATGTAACGTAACATCCAAAATTTCCCAGTTATAAATGTCTTCCAAAATCCAACCCTGCAACCCATATCCAAGTAGTGAACTTAGTTCCTGTCATGACCACTCTAACTTGGAAGTCATCAGGAAAAGATGGCTGAAAGGACTGTGATGAAACTATCACAGGATCAGTGAGTGAACATTGATATTGTATTGATATAAATTATAATAATAGAACATCATACCAAGTTCTGAAAATGAATGTGCATATTTTTACAGTGTTATACAAGCAAGGTCCTCCATTCTACCATGCCTCATACATTGTGCTGGTGGAAGTGGCAGATAAATTTACATTGATGAGGATCACTGGACTCCAAAGAAATCTGTCATGGACAAGGTTGATGGGGCTTAACAGAGTGGGAGAGTCAGCAAGGAAGGTAAACAAAGTTAAATTTTTACTTCTATTTGCGTTATCATTATGACATGAATTGAGAACTGCAAACTCATAATTTCAATTTTGGTAGGATGCAAATCTGGACTAACTAGATTTTATACAGAAGACATTTGAAGACTTCAGTGTGTTTCCATGCAGTTGTAGCAGTAGAGCGTCACCTACCAGACCGTTCAGCATCTGCCATAGTATCATCTTCATGGAATCTGGATGTAGATTGTCAGATGGGGATTTATTAACTTGGAATATTCTTTTACTGGCTCTTTGAACAGCACTTATGGAGGATTCATGTTTTAGAGTTCCATTATAGCAGAGCATTCTAGAATTGTGTATTTCTCCATGTCTTGAAACTCAGATTTGGGATCTACATTATCAGATTTAAGATACAGTATATCTGCAGTATTATCCGAAGATAGACAGTGATATCTGTTATAGCTTCAAGGCTATGACAAAATGAAAATGGATTTATGACTTTTTGCCAGACCCTGTTCTCTTTAGAATGTATGTTGCCCATGTGCATGTAGAAATTTTAGTCTATTAAAAATGCAGTAACTTCAGGCAGGTGGTCCATTAGCTTTGATTATTTCTGAATTGAGATCTTTGATATTTGAAAAACTAAGGTTATGTTGAATTATTTTGCTAAGATCACCACTAGGTAGTGAAGTAAAGCAGCTTCTCATTGCTTAATGCTTAAAGATCAGAACACAATATAGGATAAATGTAGTCTGGCTGACACAAACTAGATGTTTATATATCCACCCTTCGTTGGCTGTGAGGAATATGAGGAAAATTTCTATAACACCTCTAGTTAGAAACAGACTTATAAATATTGGTCTTTCTTTCTTGAGTAAAATACAATTTTTGATTAGTTTTATTCCCTTGCGTTTCCGATTTTAGGTAGTTGCCATAGATGAGGGTCATACTCTATTTAGGTAAATGTACCTCAGTAACTTAGGTTATATTTATGTATTCTTAAACTTAATTCTGAAAAGACATTTTTTATGGATTTCAGCCTATGACTGTTCATTAGAACTAATTAATAACACTGTTCATTTCCAGGAGATATTATTCTGTCAAGTGATTTGGCCATCAGATGCAAGTCCTGAGAGTATGGAGCTTCCTTCCATCTTGTCTAAGTTTCAGGTGCATGAAGTACTAGTTAGAAGGTGGATATCATCACAAGAAAGGGAAGAAAGTGATGTGTCATAAAGACTGTTGGATAGTAATACAATTACTTGTGTACATCTGCATCTCATTTCAATAGGCATTAGAATGTACTACTGCGCTTGGGGGGAAGAGAGCACTTCCTTCCCTCCTTTAAATATATGTTGTGTATTGCATGCATCCTAATTTAAACAACAATTTTTTTTGAAAATATTGTGTTATACACGAGTGAATAACAGTATATCCTACAAGTTCATATGCGTACATACACATGCATTGATTTTTGTTATGTGTTATGCAGTTTTGGGGTTAATTTCTCTCATGTGTACAGTTAGGACCAGTGCCCAACCATTTGTATAGTCCTATGAAAATAGTAATTGTTTTCCCCCCTCTGCCTGAGTATACATACACATTTTAGCTACTGCTATATTCTACAATTTTCTGAGATGGCTTAACCCTTGTACTGGCATATGCAGTGAAACATGATGAAAACTTGTGCTAAACTTCATTCCATGAGTAACTGAAACAAAATACTATCACCATTGGTTAGCTTGCTGATTAGTTTGCTAATATTTTGGTGTGAAGTATATAAATTTCTTTGTTCATGGACTTTGTGATATACCACTGAAGAGCTTAGGAATTGTTAAACATTAATACTTAACAAGTGGTAATACCTGTCATTTCGACATGCAATACATTCTGCTTTAGTCAAGAATTTGATGAATTAAATTATACTTGAGCTGGCAATACAATCTTCTGGGGTGTGGGGCTATAACTCCTGTTGGGTGATTAAGATTGCATTAGCTTATGACTTGTATAAAGTATGTATGACCCATCATAAAATGTTGGCCATGCTTAAGTGATCTTTCTATTAAAGACTTGTAGAACAGTAAATTAGTCCAATTCCCTTATGCAAGAGTATGAAGTCTGAGTTATGAATTTGAATAGGCATGTTTTGCTAGTGTATTTTGTCCCTGGTCATAAATATGTTTTAGGAACGTCTCAAAATATATGCATTGTGGTATTAACTTCATTCTGTTGTTGGTTCATTAGTGTGCTTAATGAATGTATTTTTATAAGGTTTTATTTTAGTTCTATTGGAAAAATTGTCAACAAACTCTGAATTTTGTCAATGTTGGATACCTGTTATTTATAACAGCATCATGTTTTACTAAATAAATGTTATGTATAATTTAATTCCTTATATTATAATTCAGTAATGCTTGACTTACAAGGAAGTTTGTCTTGAATTTGCATCACATTAAGGGAAATAGTCAACTCTGCTCTGGACCACAATAGGTAGAGAACTAGCAGAGACAGGTGGCACTGTGATATACAGACCCAGCTTCATGAACTGCAACCTGCTACAAGGCATGTTTCATCTTTTACATACCCTTGGATAATCAGTCTGTAGTTAAATTATCAATTACTATGACTGAGGCAATTTTGTGGTAGGCGAATGTCCAAAATAATGTTTTGCATCCATTTGTTGTCACCCTGTACAAATCCATACTTTTCACACCCAGCCTTGTAAGGTTAGATATAATAACGTTTATTTTTGCAAGAACTACGAACATGAAGAATAGCAGGGAAAATTTTGTTACATTTACAAGTTTTGTTACAACTTGAGGTGTATACATTTATCCAACTTGTCCACACATGTTTTTACTTGTCATGACCTTTCTTAGGAATACCAGTTCTTCTGAACTCACTACGTTCATCCAGATATTCTTCTTTACAACTATTCTTGAATTTTTCATCTTGGTACCAGCGAATTAGGCAGTTCTTAAGAGCTGTGTTTTCCTTTCGACATGTAACAACCATAAATATGCTGGAACTCTTGCAGCATTCATTGAAAGCTGAGGTGAAACAGATATCATTAACATTTCATTTGTTACGTACCTCAACAACTCTCTATGCAAATAGATTGATATTTGACATGTAAATCAATGTTCATCAATGGCTATAAAGTTCCTTAAATGAAAATTAATTTCCCATTACAGGCAAGAAATAGTATGACTTAGAAAATATACAAGAAAATACTGAATACATATCAGTATACTGTATGTATCATGCATTTATTTATTACAGCAAATTTAAGGGTTAACAAGAATAGCTCACTCTCAGTACACAAGGAAACACAGTACAAACACAATCATTAAAGTGTGTTAACATGAAAACCTATACATTCTTCTTGTAAATTGGACATCAAAACAGCATAAATCAGTACAGCAATGTACAAATTATGCAAAATTCCTGACAATAAGAAGTGATTGGTAAAAATTACCTTTTACCTCCTCAGCACATTTGTCATCTTTGGCTTTCTCTCGCATCTTCTTTGGAATCAGAACCTCAACCTCTACATTCCGTAATGACCTATCCAGTGGATCACCTGAAAACATATATAATATTTTATTTAAAAGTACATTAACTACCTATGGCCATCATGTAAGATGATAATGAAGTGAAACTGCTGTAATAGTCCCATATTACAGCAGATCTAACTACAGTTAAATCCTTGTCACATAATGACTGTTAATAACACCACCAGTGAGCAACTAAACATAGGGTGGAATTACCTTTGCTCACAATTTGAAGACCTCAGTTCTTAATATTGTTAGCATGACTATGATAAAAGGCCTGTAAACATAAGTAACATAGTTGGTATATATACTAATCCCCCCACTGATTTTCATTGATACTACAGGTGAGTAATTGGAATCTTGATGCAATTGTTTAACAAAGATTAAAAAGAATGTTCAAGGATCTGGTATATTTTATTTATTAATTTTCTTAGATCTTCTGTAACTTACTCATGCAATTATATAACTGCCCCATTAAAATTTATTTTACTCTGCAGTGATGGAGGTAGGAAGACATTCATAAGACACTGCTTTTCACCAATAATGATATATAAAATACCCAAAGTTTGATAAATAAAATGTAAATGTGTGTTTCATCTACTGAGTTCTCCAATTATTACAGTTAGCACCAGGTATGTAATAACATATAGTCCTAATGGCTAGTATCAGGAATAGAATAGAGATTATTTACATTCTGTATATAATAGGTCCAAGACAAGGGTGTATGTAGTACTGCAAAAATGATTACAAAAGAAAGCATAACCACTACTAAATACACATATTTATAATAAATGAAAGTTTTTGGTTGAAGAAGATTCTATGGAGTAGGGTTGAGATAGGATGTACTCCTTTAATGCTGGCTTTAACTGTTTTATATCGTGATTCAGGCTTATAGTCGGGAGAGATTACTGAGTAGTTTAATTCCAGTGTAGTAGGGCCTTTCTTTATATTTAATGAATTGTACATACATACATTACATTTCATGGCACCATAAAATAGTCAATGACAATAGATGTGGAAAAGTCATAATTATAATACAATACATATTATATAGTACAATTCATACTATTATTTAAATTTCACATAATACAAATAAAGGATTCACCTAAAGCAATAAGTTACAAATAAATCTACCCATTACATACAGAAGATAAATTATCACTTATTTGCAAATAATAGAAATTCATTGACAGAGTAAAAGGAGTGTGTAATTAACTATATTTTTAATGCTACATTAAATTGTGCCTTTTTATTTACAAGACTTGTGAGACTTGATGGTAGACTTGAAAAATTTTGATCCGTGTTTGGCATATGTAGGTTATATCTATACCTTGTACTTATATTGTGTACATCTGAGCTTGCTTGAAATTTTTACAAGTTGTACACTACAAGTGATAATAATGAGCACAAAAACGCTGGCTAGTGGAAGAATATTACATTTAACAATTCCCTTCATTAGTCTCTCCTTTTACTGTCTGCCATTATTCCAATAGTTTTCCTTTGAATATGGAATACATTTTTGCTGTCCGTTGAGTTCCCCCCCAAAATAATTCCACACGCCATAATCGAATGGAAATAAGACCAGTTTAAAAGATTCTGTTGTCATGAGTGATATGACAGGTATGCAAAATCACCTAATCCATGCGGTCCCCCTCCAAATTTCTTCCCTAAAACCGCCATATCAGTTCAAGCAGACGCTTCAGACCATAGATAACGTCAATTTATCGCTATACTTCACGGCTCACAGTTTACCAACACACATACACTTCATACCAACATTGGATAGTATAAGGAGTATGATTACATTGCCTTTGTGGTGTAGACATTTTGAACCCAGAATTGCGGGTTTTTCTTAGTAGCTGGGTTTATATTTTATAATCAGTGCTGCATACTGTGCGGACGTGACCCTGCAGTTTTGAGGTTTCGAGTGTCTTTGTTGTTGTATGTATCATCTTTCGTCAGACGAAAATAATATATTTTTATTGTAAATGTGTAGTTTTATATCATTTAAGTTGTGTATATAAATTTGAGTAAGGAAGAATAAATAATTGTTTTGAATTATACGTACTAACTTTGGATGTTGGGGAATGAGACGTTACTGTTATGTCTGCTCCTGTGTTAGCATAATTGACACTTTTTAATAGAATACCGAGTGTAAAACTATACTGTATGTAGTGTTTTGAAAAGGGAAGTGATATTTTGAATTCATCTTTTTTTCTGCAGGATTATTTATCTCGGCGGGTAACAGGCAATGGACCGCTTGTTGAGGTTAGGTGGTGGCATGCCAGGTTTGAGTCAGGCACCTCCACCATCAGATGCACCTGTTGTAGACACTGCTGAGCAAGTGTACATTTCTTCCCTTGCTCTGCTGAAGATGTTAAAACATGGCCGTGCCGGTGTACCAATGGAAGTTATGGGTCTTATGTTGGGAGAATTTGTTGATGATTATACGGTCAGAGTCATCGATGTTTTTGCTATGCCACAGACTGGAACTGTGAGTACTGTTTTCCCTAATATGTCAGTGTTAAAAAATGCGCTGTATGTTTATATGTGAATGTATATACTTTGTAAGTTGTTCAGAAATTATCTGTTGATAAATTATTTTATTATTTCGTATGGTAACAGTGAAGAGTGTTTTTGTCTGAGCATTGCCAACAGTAAAAAGGACACCTCAGTTATATACTATCGTTGATTTTTGCCTTTCATTTTTTGAGGCATTGTATATGTATGGGCATACCTTAATACATTTAACAAGAATAGTATGATGGATGGGGTCCGCAGTGGCCGCGCAGTTTGAGGCGTGGGCCTTGTGCCACTTGGTCGCTGGGACTGTGGGTTCGAATCCCACTTAAGCCATGGATGTTTGTCCGCGTTTTTCTGTGTTGTGCTGTCCTGTGTACAGGTAGAGGCCTTGCGATGGGTCGATTCCTTGTCCAAGGAGTCCTACCAAAAGTCTATAGATCAAGCCAATGAAAAGTTGGGACCTGCAGTGCTCAGCCACTTGAAGAACGGGTTGTTCCCAGTATCCAGTATCCCAGTATGATGGATAGAAATAAGCAGGCTTGTGTTGCAGAGGCCTTACATCAGCCCCATGTTAATTTTTGGCTAATTATCTGAGCTGTTTGTTATTTAGATAGAAAATATTGAATGATACTTATGGTACACCAATATAAAAATATTGATGCATCTTGCTTGCCGCTACTTACAAATGCTAATTGTGAAAGGGGCCTTATAACACCATACTGAGCAAGCTGAAAGTTGTCTTATACCACATGTATGAGTTATTAATGTACTTGATGCACAAATAGTGTCAAGGGTTGCTTGCTGGTTCAAGCCCCTTGTTAATAGACTGGCAGCACACTATAGGAAATATGTATATGTATGTGCAGGACTGAAAAAGAATTGACAAATTAATGTACAGTATGAATAACTTTATTTTTTAAGGGTGTCAGTGTAGAAGCAGTGGATCCAGTATTCCAAGCAAAAATGTTGGACATGCTGAAGCAAACAGGACGTCCTGAGATGGTTGTTGGATGGTACCATTCGCATCCAGGGTTTGGTTGTTGGTTGTCTGGTGTAGATATCAACACACAGCAAAGTTTTGAAGCTCTGTCAGAACGGGCTGTTGCTGTAGTAGTTGATCCCATTCAGAGTGTTAAAGGTTTGTGAGATATATAAGTAGTAGAGATATTCTCATAAAAGTTCTGGACAAGCAGCTGGAAGTACATTGTTCTACAGATGCAGTAATTTTTCCAGTAGCTTATGGATTGCCCAAGCTTGTAATGGTAAGGAACGTTCTTACTAAAAGAAACGTACTGAATGATTTATTAACAATATGTACTTGAAAATAAAATAATCTAATGCACAATAAAATTGCAGAATGTCATTTTAGCAGTATTACTCTCTGCTGAACAACTCTGACATTACATTATGGTGTTGCTGTAACCTTTGTCATGTAAGAATAGGATTCTTGTACTATAGGCCTACTAGTATCTTTATTCCCATATAACAAAAGTTTTGTAAATGGACACTGAGAAATGCATATAAAATTTAGGTTGTAAAATCTGAAGGGAACAAACATTGGTGTAGATGGGAGAGTAATACTGAAGTGTATCTTGAAGAAATGGGATGTGAATTGGATTTATTTGGCTTAGGATAGCATCCAGTGGCAGGCACTTTTGAATATTATAATAACCTTTCAGTTCCATAAAGGCAGAGAATTCCTTGATTAGGTAGTGGCCAAAATTTTCTCAAGAAAAATTCTGCTTTATGTAGTTAGTTAAGCAAATCATTCAGTAGGTATCTTGAAACAAGTTATTTTTATACATGTGGAATTTTCTTCTAGAGATTTAAAAACACGCTATAGGAAAATATTTTAATCAGAAGTGTGTTATAAATCAAGCTTATAAATTTTGTCTTCTTTGACATAGGTAAAGTTGTAATTGATGCATTCCGACTGATAAACCCCAACATGATGGTGTTAGGTCAGGAGCCGCGACAAACAACATCAAATCTTGGTCATCTGCAGAAGCCTTCAGTTCAGGTAACATTTTTGGATGCAGCATTTCTTTCATCTGAGCCTGAAGCTTGCCCTTTTCTCTCATTGGAATAACATTGGGAATGTTCAGATACATTGAGAAGAAAATAATTATATTGTTATACTGTTATCTGTAGAACTGTGGACACAGCTCTAAACATGCGATGACCTTATGAACAGACAGAGAGAATTTGAAAATAAAAATATGTGATGTTACAGCATTTTGTGTGATTGAAAATTATCATCATATTTTGCTTCTCCCTCCCCTTATTATACACTTGTAATGACATTTATTAATTATGATGAACTTTATGTATGAAATTTATTTGCTTTAGTGTTAACTTGTCATACTCTGATAAATGTGCAACATCAGCAGATGGAAAGCACAAGAGATGTATACCTATATGTTTTTTAAAATATTAAGGCATTTATTTGTATGTCATTGAATTAATTTTATATAGATATTTTGATAATACAAAATCATATACTGTGATACTGGATTAAGAAATTAAAACCAGGATTACATGTGCAAATAATAAAGGGAGGCTGAGCAGAATTTGTAAAATACAATTTAAATAACATTCATGATTTCATTGTTTTATATATTTGTGCTAGTTTGTTAAACTTAATGTTTCATTGTTGTCAGTTTTGAAAGTAAGTAGCATGAGGTTTTTCAGGCTCTGATTCATGGTCTTAATAGACATTACTACTCAATTAGTATCAACTACCGTAAGAATGAGTTGGAGCAGAAGATGTTGTTGAATCTCCATAAAAAGTCATGGATGGATGGGTTAATGCTGGCAGATTATTCAGAACACTGCAAACTTAATGAGACAACAGTTAGTGATATGCTGGATCTGGCACGAAATTACAACAAGGTAACTTTCTGTCTTTAATTAAAGATGAGTAACTATGATCTTTTAGTATTGGTCCAGAGACTGGCTTTCCTGACTGAGGTTATCCATGGTTTTCCTTAGTCCTACCAGGCAAATGGTGGTGTAGTGCCTTAGAATAAGCCATGCTCGCCTCCTTAGATATTCTTTCCAATTCACAATTTACCCTAACATTGGATGCTACACAACCTATGCCAGGAAAAATTGCATCCCTAAACCATGATTCTGCAATCCCTGGTTAGTTTTCTTATTTCAAGTGTAGTCCACAGCCAACACATTGAAAAGTTTCCTCATTTCTGACAAATTTTAATAAATTGTGACACTTCTTTTCTCACAGATTAGATGGTATGGTGATGGGAATATTTAGATTTCTCATGTATTCTTACTGCAAGGTGTAGCATATACGGGAGTTTGTATCCGTCCTTATATTCCTTCTATGAAAGTATTGAATAGATTTTGATTACATTTAATATTGTCTCCCTACACTAAAACTTGTCATACAAATTTAATTTATATTTTTATCAAACCAATATACATAGCTCATATCACATATTATCAGTTTCCTCAGAAAAGCATTATTGCATAAAAGACTGACATACAACATAAAATGTAATATCATTAAGTTCTAGTCTGTATTTTAAATATTTTTTTCATTATGGTTAATAATGAAATAAAAAAATAGGTGCTGATTCTGTGACATGATATCTGTCATGCATTTTAGCTTTTAAACAGTAGATTTCATTCATCAGCAAATTATTAAGGGCAATGAAATATAGAATGTAGTAAAATTCTCATTTGGAAAATATGGTACTGTCCATTCTTGTCATACTTGTGAATGTGTTTTTATTATTTGTTGATAAATAATGTATTTTTCTTACAGGCTCTTGAAGATGAGGAAAAGATGACACCTGAACAGTTGGCAATAAAGAATGTTGGTAAGCAGGATCCAAAGAGGCATCTAGAAGAGAAGGTTGATATTCTGATGACGACCAATATCGTGCAGTGCTTGGGAGCCATGCTGGACACTGTTGTCTTTAAGTGATGCAGGGGACTGATTTTCATGTTCACTTGTCATATCTCCAGTTACAAAAAATAAAAACATTAATCCTTGTTGACAAGTCAGAGAAATAAATTTTATCAAAATTGTTTACTAAGCTCTTGCAGGTTAGGAAACTAATTCTTGCCAACAGTCAAAGGGATACAGTGTTTTGATGTTCATGCAGTTTTGCTGTGAATAATCCAAACTATAAAGAGATATGCAAATGTTCTAATTTGCAATTGGGAAGGATTTGTACTGCTCCCCTTCAATAATATGATATTAAAAACAATTTGGCTGATACTCCATTCTTTTAATAAAGAAGTACTGTAAACCCTCCATTTAACAGATATCAGATTTAGTGGGCACTGTCTAGTATTGACAGACTGTATATGGATGTGAGGCATTGGCAGACTCCATTAAAACCAAAAATGTTCACTAATGCAATTTTAACAGACAGAGTCAGTTAAAACTGAATATGTCTGTCATTGACTGGATTTTTTTAAGCACTTAATTATCTCTTTACTCTCTAGTGTTTTACTGAACTTTGTTTCATTGTAGGTATCCAGTTCATATTAGTAATCTGTTTAATGGTATTCTTAATAGAAATTATGTTTTAAGGATACATTACTGGTATTGTAAAAACAGCTGTGAAATTTAATGGACCGTAAGCATTGCCAGACTCCCCTTCCCTCCTATTTGTCTGTTAAATAGAGAGTTTCCTGTATTTAGTTTCTTATTATGCATTTTTCATCTTGGTTTGTTGTAATTACCTGTAAAAGTCACAGATTTATAATTTTATATTGTAGAAATGTAAGAGAATAGCAGAAGGGGAAGAAGGTGTAACAGTAATATTAAGAAGGATCTTAAAAAAGGAGAATGTGAAGGTGTGGACTGGATTCATCTGGCTCAGGACAGGGTCAAATGGCAGGCTCTTGATGACATGATAATGGACCATTAGGATCCATGAAAGGCAGAGAATTGCTTGACCATCTGAATAACTATCTGCCACTCAAGAAGGTCTCTCTGTCTTGTAGAAGTTACTTCTGGATTTGACAACTGTTTAAAAAAGCTGAGACCAGCTGCCAGCATTAACCCTGTGAAGTTGAAGCTTGTCTTAATATTTAAATATTCAGCCCTATCTCATTTAAAGTTTTAAACTTTCATAGTCAGTTATTCTAACTCGTGATAAACTGGAAATACTTTTTTCGTAACTTTGTGTGAGTGCAAGAAACTGTGTGTAGTAGAGCCTTGGAGAAGTGAATGAGCATAAATAATTATACATTTATAAAACTTAAAGAAGGCACAGTTGTATTATATGAATGAACTGATGGAATGTGATAAAACTCAAAATATAGCACATAGAAAATTGAGGAATAATTTCTACAAATTGATGCTACATTGAATGTTATTTTAATGCATTTCTCAGCTATGTGTGATACATGTTTGGCATGTCTGTGTGTCTGTCCAATTATAATAATTTATTACTTCTGGAGAAATGGATTTTGATTGCATTTGGCAGTGCCCTTATTACAAGTAAAATTTAAAGAAAAATGATTTTCTTGAACGATAATGATTACCACTTTATATGAAGGCCTAAATACAGTTTTGGATTCCGTCATTAAGTAATTGCCCGATTTTAGGTCAGCTCATTGCATTGTGGGTCTAGCACCATGTATAGGAACATACATTATTAGTGTTTAGAAGACAGGAGGTTCCTCCACAGTGTACATTTTTATTTTTCATGGTATCTGACATTATTGCAGTTGGTGGTGTGGCTTTGGTATGGAGACCTATGCATATTAACAGGTTCTTGTATGAAACATGTTTTGGTATTTGAGAGTTTATGTGCTTCAACTTAGTAATGACGTAGGAATTCAATGTTATATTTGATAACCCTTTGGCTTTAAATTTTTCAAAGTTCTCCATTAGTATACAGGTTGAGTCAAAAGTATGTTTACAAACTTTGTGTGCGTGTTCCTGGATCAGAAATAAGAAAAAATGTTCCTATGAACATGTGGTCAGGTGGAAGTAGTAGGTGTCAGTTTCTTTCCCAGAATTTACTAAACGTTTATCTTTAAGATATCTTTGAATAGGCAGCTCTGATAATTGTTGTTCCTCTGAGACTTGGTAACTGCCTACAAGACCATTCCAGTTTTGGTCATCTGGATTGTACTGCTGTAGACTTGTAGGTAGATATCAGTGTTTCAGAAGAATATCCTGCATCCATCTTCAGCTCTAAACGTGAAGACCGTGCATTCCTCTGAAATGTTGGTATCTGCATACAAATGCACACAGCATCACAAGACCACAGTTAACCTATTTACTGTTGTGAGAACCTCAGATCTTCAACCATTATCATTTGCTTGTCAGCTAAATACATACTTTATAACTGTCCATGTTTTTATTCCCAAAAATTATTTTAGAATGAGAACAGTTCTTAGAGGTCCTAAAAGCTGAGGACTGATGTGCTTCTTTGAGCAAACGTTCATATCATTGGGTAACTATTCAAATGTTACGGATTAATGGCCTTTGACAGAGCCTTCATATTCCTCATCTGGTATGCCCATTTGGGGCAACATTTTAGATTTGTCTGTTTGTATACCAATATTTGTTCTTCAGACTTGCTGGCAGAAGATCAGAAGTAGGCATTGTTTTTAATTTTTGAGGGTATATGGTATGAAGTCGAAGTGGGCTGAGAAGTTTTGCAAGAAAAATTTTGTTAAAAATATTTTGAAAAGTGTATCATTTATTCACATTGAATATAATTTTAGATAAACCAAAATATATAAAAATAATATTGATTTTACTAAATTCTGATTTTTGGTCTTATGTGTGTGAAGACATGCATTAAACTAGAGTTCTCAAACTTTCTCAGGCCAAGGGTCACATTCACCCTTGCTTTTGACTTGTGAACCACAAAGTTATAAATGATGGCAATTTATTAATAATGTTGCAAAGTTACTATTGCAAACAGGTTCACATTTTACATAGTAATTTTCTGTAACAAAATCATGATTGACATTTGACAAATAATGTTTAAGTTCAGTTGTAGCAGGTGACTACTTTTCACACATGTTGGGCACTACTATGAAAATGTATGCAGGCCATGAGTTGAAAACCCCTGCTTTAACCAAATTACACAATTTGATTTTTTTCATACCTAGATGTAGGTATAGTAAACATTGTTTACACACCACAAAGATTTAATTGCAAAAATCTCAATTATGTTTGTTCCTTCAACATACTAAAGAGGATAAAGGAAACAGCCCTTGTTAGGGCATCTCAGGGACCATTTGTTACTGACCTTTCAATTACCAACATAACCCCAAATAATGGTTAAGCATTTCGCAAGATTTTAATTATTACTGCAATTTCAAGACATTCATTATTCAAGACGGTGTCAATAATCTTTACAATTCACAATAGTATGTGTGTGTATATGTATATATACATATGGTATAGATAAATTATTTTATGGAAATTGCAAGTTATCTACGAAATCAGCCATGACCACAATCGAAATTTTTTAAATTTTATACTATCATACATCTTTCCTGCATCACTGTAATTTTGTGAAATAAAATGTTGCTTCCATTTTAGACACATAAAAACTAATATATTGATATAATATATGTAATTCAATCTTTTGTGTATCAGAATTTGTATAATGTTACGTAG